GAAGGTGAGCAGAGCGGGCTGCACCGACGTGGCAGCGTCTGAGCAAGGGGAGGGCCTGAGCGGCGTAGCATCTGGGGAAGTGCGCGGAGCCTCCGAGACCCGGTGGCGGGGGCTGCGTCGAGCAGCTGGGTGGCCACGACACTGGAGCGCAGTGAACGACGGACCCCAGAGCAGAGACGAGGCTGGCGAGCTAACAGGTCAGTGCCGTCAGCCTGGTTCGGACCTGGCTTCCCATCCGATTGAGATGGAGACCACCGAGGGCTCCGTGCAAAGGAGTAACTTGAATAACTTTTTACTCAGATTTTAAAGTCAGTCTCGCTGCTACAAGAGTGTCGTCCTGCGAGGTGGGGGTGGACAGCACTCGGGGGCTGAGGCCGCGCGGTCCCTGCGCACGCTCTGGCGCGGGCGAGCACAGTTCTTCATGAGTTAACGGTGGGAGGTGGCATGGGGCGTCGGGGTGATTTGAGAGTTCCGGCCCAGGCACGCCTGACAGCAGAGTTGCCGTCAGCTACGGCAGACACAGCCCGGGCAGAACGGGTTCACGGGAGTGACCAGGAATCAGGGGAGCAGCTGACCACATGAAGCAGTTTCAGTGAGAAATGCGAGCTGGAGATGGACAGGGAGAGCCCTCGGCACAGCGGCGTTTGGAACGCGTGGCAGAGGTAAGAGTCACCAGGAGACCGGGGACAGGCAGCCGAGGACGGCGCTCTGAAGGGAGAGCAGAGCAGACGAAGCAGTGAGACCGGGGGCCGAGGCGACCCCGACGGGTTAGCCCCTGCCGCACTCGGAACGAGGGAGAGGTGCTGTGTCAAACGCTCCCGACGAGGCCCCGAGACGGGACACAAGCCCCGCTGCATCCGCCGCGTGGAGCTCAGGGCTCGGGCTGGGAGAGGAGTCGGAAGCGGCAACATGGGGTCAGCCCTCTCAGGGCGTTTTCCTGGAAAGGGTGGCCATAAAAGCAAGTTTTTACTAAATGGATTTGTAAGGTGAAGAGTTGTAGGTTTTATTTTTCACCTAGAAGGAACAGTAGCTGAGGAGAGTAATTAAGTAGAGAAAGAGAAGCTAACGACGCAGGAAGGATGGCCGTCGCTGGGACTGTGAAAGGGGACCGCGGGCAGCTCGCCTTGGTTTGACGCTAGCCCCACGCCTTGCTATAGGATTTTTTCCCAAGTTAGTTTTGCTCCCTAAGCCTCAGGGGAAATAACAGCATCTTCCTCAAGGGGCTGCTGGGAGACAGAACGAGCTAATATCTGGCAAGTGCTCAGAACGATCCTCCGCACGCTGCAATCACTACATAAATGTTTGCGGCTCTGATCAGGGAACTGCGCGGCACTAACCCACCCTGTACCGAGGCAGAGTGAAGACGGGGAGGCCGGGGTCGTCCCTGCATAGGTTCTCTCGATCCAAAAGGACCAGGTGAGGCTAAATGAGCAGCTGAACTTGACACCCTAGTGAAACGGCACGCAGCACTCGGGCTCCCACTTACACAGAGGACTTGCCGTTGCGAGGGTCCTTGAACGTGGTTGTTCGCGTGTTGTGGTCGACGAAGTACCTGACGCCCTCCCGCGTGTACCGGATCTCCCAGCCTTCCGGAAGGGGCTCCTCGTTCTGCAAGCTGGAAGGCGAAGTGGGGATCACAGGGTGAATGCTCCAGGCACGAGGCCATGCGAACCGCGCTTGACTTGATTCTCCTGACAGACACACTTAGGCAGGGAGAGGTGAGCGGGGCTGTACCACGTACGTACCCCTGCGTTCTCGGATCTTCCCACTGGGTGGTTTTTGTGTTATGATTCACGAAGTAAACTCTGTCTGTTGAATCTACTCTTTTTTCTAAAAAACAGAGAATAGCATTTAATGAGTAACATTTGCTATACAGACCTTTCAGATATTTTTACCAACTACACGTCTGCTTACCCCAGCCTGGTGGCAAAGGTCCGTACGGGTCATTTTCTGCAGCTAACATTGAAGCCTGATTGGAGAAAGGGTTGGGGGAGAAATAACATCACGTTATCTTAATATAAAAACAGAGAGACGCTTGGCAGAATCACATATATAATTTTCCGAAAAACAAAGGAAGGAATGTGAATATAGTCATTTCAAGACACTAAGTCCTAAAAATGCCATTAGTTAAGAGTCGATCAACTGACCATCGGTTTTTCTAAAACGATTCAGAAATACTATATTGACCATCAATAGTTGAATCTCTTAGCTCCTCCATAATAATCTAAAGGCACGAGATGAGGCGAGGGATGAGAATACAGAAAATTGTAGTGATTAAATGAGGCGATATATTTCTTAATATAAAAATTATCACAGCTTTTAAAACAAATGCATAATAAAGCCAACATTAAATTCCAGTATCCTCATTATACAAATAAACTTTTTATCTTGATATTGTCTTTTATATAGTCATACCTAAAAACATCTATGCTTACACATTATCATTACAACCCAGAAATATATTCTGAAGAAAATGTAAACATTCTACCATCAATAATGTGTGAAAATCATTCACTGAAAAACAGTTTCTTAATGAGGAAGTACAAGCATCCTGATGCCATCACGGCAGTGGCCGGCAGTGTTAACCATCCTCGCTGTCCAGGCCCCACTCCTTGGACAGCCAAGCCCGTTCCGTCGGCCGCAGCAGCGCGTCCGGCTAAGGGCACCCCACCCTGGCCTCCTGGGAGGCTGGGCTGGTGGCATGACCACTGTGCCCAGTGAGGTGTGGGCAGAAGTCCAAGGCAGAGCGAGCCTGGGCCTCGATGGCACTGCTGAGCCTGTCTACTACATTTTGGGTTTAAGTTGCCTCAAAACACCATCTAAAGGTGCCCAGTACTTAAAATATACATTTTTGCTATTTCCTATGATCGAACCCATTTAATAAAGGTGCTGGGCTTTTCCCCCCTCTCTTCTTGTGGATGTTTGCTTATGGCAGTAAATAAACCACCGACTGCTCAGACTTCAAGAGTGTTCGCAAGGCCAGAAAGGCCAAGGCTGGCCGATGGGGAGGTCGGGGGGCCTGGTCTCAATGAAAGCCAACAGGACCCTTACCATTAAAGGCAGAAGACTGGGGATGGGCAGGCATGGTATTTTATTAAGAAAATGCAACCATGAAACCACCAGCAAGGACAAAACACTGAGTATAGGTTATGTTAGTACTAGAGTTAGAAAAAAACAAAAACAAAACTTGAAGTGCTTATGGGGATCAGAAACGCTGATTATTTACTGCAGAGGAACTTAAAAATACCGCGTCGTCACGTAGCCCGTACCGCGTGTGAGCGGGCGGCGGCCCCCGCGCCTTACCGAGTAGAGGTACCGCTGGTTGAACTGCTGCATGGCCCCCTGCAGCTGGTTCCGCTGCGACTGCCACTGCTCGAAGTTGCGCACGGACTCCATGGTGGGCCGCTGCCACGTGGTGGTCCTCGTGTTGTGGTCCACGTAGTACACACGCCCGCGGTCGTCGACCCTCCTTTCCCAGCTACCGCGAGGAGACAGACGACAAAAACAGCACTCTCAGGAAACACTTCAAGCAAACAGTTTAAAAATCAAGTCCAAGACATGATCGAATAACTCCAAAAACGTAAATGACGTTCTTCAGAAAACTGATGAGCGTGGGACTCGCTGTAGGCTCCAGCTAAACACAGCCACTGCGCCACCGTGCAGGCGGCGTGCCAGCCTTACGCCCTGACCCCGTCGTAAGCTCTGACTGACTGCTCGCTCCCCACCAGCAACTGGCCCGCACGGTCTGCCACGTTCAGACGGTCACCTCTCCCACCTTCCCGCTACTGTGCTGCTGCGGACCGAGGCGCGCCACCCCCCGCACGGCTTCCCCGCCATGGCCCCTCGCCCCGCATTCCCTTCAGAGCCAAACCAACTGCCAACTGGCCCCAGGTGTGTCCTGCTTCCCCTGTCTCTAAGAACTCAACAACCTTCCCTACGTCTCTACCAACCAGAAAACCCCGGCCCCTGGGCTTCGGGTCCCCTCAAACCAAGTTTGGTCATTAATTTATGTGACGCTCTCAGAATCCTGTCAGCCACCAATCGCACACAAATAACATTTCTTGCCTTGAATTTTCTGGACTTGGAACGCGTTTTGTATTGGTGGACTTTAAGTCCCACCTGGAAGGACAGATCTTCTGAGTGGCAAAGACAATAAGGAGAAAATCCCAGGGACAGGCAGAGTGTCCGGGGACAACGCGAATCGGTGGCTCAACTATCAGAGCCACACGCACAGTCACGAGACGAGGAAACAGAGAGAGGACGCCAGTGTGGGGACGGCCTTACACGGCGGCCTGAGGCGTGGACTTCGCTTAGGTCGCACACTGAACGTCTATTCATTTAAAGCCCTCTGTAACTTTAGCCATCGCGTAGCAGTTTTAGTCATGGCATCTGTGGATAACTCGGAAGCATTCTAAGACCTGTCACTACATCTCAGGAACAGCACAGTTCAGATCAGCCTCCATGGAGAACCACACAGACACACCGCAGCTCCTTCCCTAGAAAATAACCAGGGCTGAAACTGACCAGCCGACTTTTGCAACTAACGACTCTCGGTAACTCACGCCAGCGCCGGGCGATCTCTCCAGGAAGCCTCACTTACTGAACATCCGTGAGTCACAAAAGCCAATCCAAGGAAACAGTATGCAGAATAAAAGAGCCAGTTTGTGTTGTATTAGGTAAACTTTTAACAGCACGTGTCTGATAAAACACAGCTGAAGGTGTGTAGGGCTGGACAGTACCCTGGCGGCAAAGGCTGAGGCCTCTCCCACGTGGTCGTCCGAGTGTTGTGATCCACGTAATAGGTTCTGCCGTGAGGGTCTTTCCTCTGCTCCCACCTTTAACGAAAACACAAAAATATAAGTAAAAGACAACAGACTAATACACCTGGAAATATCGTTCTTATAATCAGGAAAATCACAGCTAAGTTTTACTTAAAAGCCTATGTTTATATATCTCTGTATATGTAGATGTGTATATAGATATCTATTTATGAAGTTGTTTCTTTTCCCAATTATTAGTGCTTTCTAAGTTCTTAATTACTTCCTTTTAACACTAATAGAAACTCAGCAAGTATAGTTAGCAAAGGAGAGCAGAATAATACCTAAAGTTTTTTAAAGTTACTAAGCTACAGGATTCCACGTCATCGGAACACAGAAATTTCATCGAGGGTAGAGGAGCTTTCAGCTTCGTGCCAAGCCCGAGGCATGAAATGTCGACAAAGCATCTCTGGGCACGTGTAAAGGTTTAGTGGAAGCCGCCTTCGAGTGTGCAGTGATGCTCACCCCGTGCCAGGTCCTTCTTCCCCGCGCACCTGGTGTCTGCCTCCTGCACACGCGCTATCCCTCGACCACGAGTTTACAGACACCCCGACTTTATTTTATTCTGTTCCACCTCGAAGACTCTCAGGCTCTTATTCCTCCACTGTCATTTCCTCCTCTGGGACCCCCATTCCTGCCTCTCCAGTCTGTCCTTAATGTGGTACAGAAGACACATATTCAACATAAAAAATAAAAACTTGGTATTTCTGAGTTTAACATGCTCATTTTCAATTGGAAAGTAGAACAGAAAATATTGTTCTTTCTCTTAAACACACAGGCCCAATTAAATGTGATTTCTCTGTGATTAGAGAGGCCTCTATTTTTTCCCCACGCAATGACCATGCATCCTAAAGCTGTTGTTTAAGGCGCAAAGATGAAGCCGTGAGTCTCCCTGCGCGTGCGCACACTCTGCGACGCCCTCGGCCCAGCCGGCCCAGACGCACACACCCGCTGTCCTTCTGACTGTGGACGCCCTTGACAGCTGAGCCGTGGAGCACGACGTGGTTCTTTCAGTTTTCTCTTTCACTCCCATTTCCCTATTTGTGTGAACTCACTACCGATCTAAACTCCAGATACTCCCCCCCCGCCCCGTGTGTCGGACCCTGCTCCCTGGGTCCCCCATCTCTCCTCACCCGCTTCTGGAGAAACACGAGGCCTGGCAGCTTCCTACGAAGGCCACGCAGGCAGGAAACGTGTGGAAACCGAGGACTCTGTGCAGCGCTGGGCAGTGAGGCTGCGCAGGGCCGGGGCTGGAATCTCCCGCGGCATTTGAGGCCCAGGCCACGGTCCTCTAGTTGCCCCTGCGGATTCTGAGGCCTCTAACGTCATTCTGAGGAGAACGGGGCCTGCTTTCCACCCTTGTTTTTAGCCCCTGGACATGTGAAGGATTTTTTCTTTGCCCCTAGTATACTAAAATCTTCACAATGGGTGTCTTAATATAGATTTGTTTTCTCTTAGTTCCCTGAGTTTTGGTGAGCCCTTTCAATATGAAAATTCAAGTCTTTCATGTTTGCGAAAGATCTGTTGTTGCCATAATTTTGTCAAGGATTCCCTCCCATCTTCTCTCTTTCAAGAACTTCTCTCAGCAGACAGACCTTCTGAACGGGTCCTCTTTTTTTTCTACATATTTTTAAAATTTCTCTTTTTGTTCTACTTTCTGGGAAACTTCTTGGCCGTCATCAGCCAAGTCTTCCATGAAATGAGGGTTCCAAGAGCCTCTGGGGACCGCGGTGCTCCACGTCTGGAACGCCTCGTTCTTGTGTTACAGCTACTCTCGTCCCTCTAAGAATACTGAAAGTGTTTTTCTTCAAGCAGCATTTTTTAGGCTGTCCTGCTCTTTCTCGTAAGAGGCTTCCTTGGATGTCTAATAAGCAGGCACCAAAAAGCGGACGGGGCTTCGTGTGCCTGTGGGGGCCGTGGGTTCGGGACTCCTGGCCGGGTGACCTAACGGGGCATTCACTGGCAAACACGCGTCAGTGCGTTCCGTCGTTTCCAGGGCGGGAGAACGGTGAGATCCTGGCTGTCAGTGTTCTGGGATTTGGGTTGGAAAGAACCAAGTGCTTCATCCATATAAAGGGCTGTGAAGCCCTTTTCTAGTTTTAGCCTAAATCAACTGCAAATATTTCTACTTTAACATCCAACAACTATTCAGTAAGCACTCGTTAGCCCCTGGTTTTTAATTTCTCCGAAATGAAAGATCACTTCCTGAACTCAGTGTTTGCTCTAAGCAGAATTAATCTTTCTCAAACGAAGCTGCTTGCTACACAGAACATGTCAGAACTGATTTTGCACATCTTCCTTTACAATTTTCTACATTCTATTCTAGATCAAGGGTAGACAAACATTTTCTGTCAAGTGCCAGAGAGTAAACGTTCTGGGCTTTGTGGGGGAAGAGGCACAACTGCCGAGTCGGTAGGTGTGAACGTCGTGAGAGAGAAGCTCCCGTCACGCACCGCCCCGTTTTCTGGGGTGCGCGTCCTGGGGGCGGGCGCGCTGGGGCACAGAACTCCTGGTCAATTCCACTGTCCGCCCCGGGGACTCTTTCTCTCCCTGCCAGCAGCTGGCCAACGGGAGGTTACTTGCTAAGTTGTCACTCCCAGTCACAGGGAGGAAGGGGAGGCGTGGACGTGATAAAGGGGCCAAGGGGGACACTCTGCCTGAGCCTGGGTGACTCACGGTGACAGCCCACCACAGCTGTGTCTGTGGGCAGGCTGGAACTGGCCGGGGACTGCACGGTCCCAGCAGTGGGGACTCGCGCCCGCCCTGCACAGGCACACTGCCTGCTGACTGGCGAGACTTCTCGGCAGGCTCTTCAGCGTCCTGGAGAGAAGAGCTCGTCTGTAGCGGCCAAACTGCTCCCTCGAACGCTCCTCTCTAGCGTCTCCCTGTCTCGCTAACACATGGTAAGTTTTCAAGACCGACCACTGAACAAAGACCTTGTTAAATCAAAAAAAGTAAATTTGGAAGAATTTTGTGAAATATATTACAATAGTAACAGAATGTAGTTATCGACTGGATAACTGCAGGTTTCGAAGCTGGATCGGGGGTCCAGGGAAGCCTGCCTTCTGCCCCAGCCCCTGTGAGGCTCCCCCACCTCAGACACCTGCCCTGGGCTCCGCCTTTCCTTGCCCACTTCCGCCAAATGTCCCCTCCCCCAGGGGGTTCCAGGAAGAGTGCTCTCTCACGCCCTGCTCCTCCCAGCTCGCCCAGTCTGCAGGGGGCTCAATCTCCCAGCAACCACAGCGCCAAAGGTCAGCAATAAATCATCTCTGTTGTTAATTCAATGGGCGCACTCATCTTCCTTGAATTTTTCAGTAGATTCTGACCTTGCTAACCATTTCCTCAGAGGCATTTACACTGCTCACTCACTCAAAATCACTGAGTCAACCTCTCACTGACTTTACAAATATTTACTGAGTACCAGCTAAATGGCAGGCAGTTTTAGGCTCAAAGAATATAGAAATGGACAAAATAAAGCTCTCTTTCAGTCTAGTGGAGAGAAAACTGACGATGAACATGTCACCTGGTGATGCGCTACAGAGAATACCACCAGTCCTGTCACGCTGCCTAGAAGAGCCTTCCTCAGGAGCCCACACTCACTCCACCATAGCATGTTCTAGAAGGGGGAAAGCTAACCTCTACTCTGCAGTGGGGAAAATCAGAACAGCGACTGCCTCCCTGCAAGTAGGGCCAGGGACCGACGGCAAAGGGGTCTGCGAGAACTGTGTGGGGTGGTGGCATTTTACACCTCGGTGAGGGCCTGGGCTCACAGGTGTATGCGCCTGTCAAAGCTCTTTAAAAGGACACACTTAGGGCTTGCGCATTTGCTTCTGCGTAAACCTTACCTAAAAAACTGAACCAGCACTGACGTCTAGCACCGGTAAGCGGGCTAAAGGGCTGGGGGTGTCTGCATCTCGGCGAGCTGCGTGCGGAAGTCAGGTAACGGATGCAGCGAGAGGGGACGAAGCAGGCAGAGAGAGACGGCAGCTGGAGAATCTGGCGGTAGCTGCGCAGATGCTCTCAAACCTTTCCGCATGTTTGTAAATTTTCACAGCAGAAGGTTGGAGAAAAATAAGGTAGGACGGGGGATGGGGGCAGAGGGTGCCTGATGTGGGGCAGGGGGCAGGAAAGGGCTCTGCAGTGAGCAGCCTGGCTGCACCCTGCAAACGTCAGGGGCGGCGACCGTCAGGGACAGCAGTCCACCCAGGCGGGGCCGAAGCAGGTGTGCGCGGGGCTCCCCAGGCAGACCCGCCTCCAGGCCAGAATGCGCTGGAGACCGTGTGGCAGAAGGCTGAGCGACTCAGCAAGCTACCAAAGAGGAAACGCGGCGCCCAGAAACGAGGCTCGAGGAAGGACAGGTGCAGAAAGAGGGAGAGGAAGCTGCTCACTAGTCGGTCGCACAAGGCGAGGGCCACCTCTGCCAGAGAAGCCCGCCCGGGCCCCTGGGGTTCTGCCCTCACAGCTGACAGTGGCCTGCTCAGCGTCACCCTCCAGGACTAGTGGCCACCGGAGTCCAGGATGCTCCATGTCTCACCTGCATTAGCAGCTTTTAACCTTTCTGACCGCAGTCACAGAGTACGCCCCACACGTGACATAAGCAGCTCGTGTGTACCGGAAGCCTTTGCTTACAGTTTCCCACACACACACACCAGGAAAGCAAACTTTCCGGAAACAGCGCTCACTGTGAGCACATGATGCACGCTTCAGGATTCGATTCTTGTCCACACTGATTCACTTCGTTACGTGTTCACATGCTAGTCACAGTCCACCAACGGGCTGC